CCCCAAAACCCCAAAACCCCAAAACCCCAAAACCCCATATAATTGGCCTCGAAATGAACAATAATATTATATAAGGAAAGATGGAAGACAACCAACCTGCCGAAGAGGTACTTGATTATGACGAGATTGATGAAATTGAGGACAAAGAAGCCCAAGCTGCCGATGGAGAGACTGGTGGTGAGAATAAGCTTACCTATTCCTCTATTCACTCTACTTCGTTTAAGGATCATATGTTAAAATATGAGCTCCAGAGGGCCCTCCAGGATTGTGGATTTGAGAATCCTTCTGAAGGTAAGAGCTAGTGTATATTCAAACGACCAAACCCCGCTGCAATCGGTTCTACTGTCACCACGGAGTTATAATTGAGGCTCCTTCTTTTATGGAGAGTTATTAAAATTGCTATAGTCCAGCAGCAGTGTATCCCAAAAGCTAAGATGGGAGTCGACGTACTGTGCCAAGCAAAATCAGGAATGGGAAAAACAGCTGTCTTTGTGCTGACAGTTCTAGATCAGTTAGATGAAAAGCCAGAGCCATGCTCATGCCTTGTTATGGGACATACTAGAGAATTAGCCTTCCAGATTAAGAAAGAGTTCGATAGATTTACCAAATACTTTAAGAATGTTACTTCAGAGGTGATTTATGGAGGTATCCCAAAGAAACAGCACATCAAAATGCTGAAGGAGACTCCTCCAACCATTGTAGTAGGTACTCCAGGTAGAATCCTTGACCTTACAATGGGAGGACATCTCAAGCTTGATAAGCTCAAGTACTTCGTCCTCGACGAGTGCGATAAGATGCTTGAAGAGGTAGGAATGAGAAGAGACATTCAAAAGATTTTCGTTAAGACTCCACATCAGAAACAGGTAATGATGTTTTCTGCCACCATGGATAAGGACATTAGACCTATCTGTAAAAAGTTCATGCAGGACCCATTCGAGGTCTTCATTGATGATGAGACTAAACTTACTCTTCATGGTCTCCAACAGTATATTGTTAAGTTAGAGGAGAAAGACAAAAATAGGAAGCTTCATGATTTGTTAGATGCTCTCCTTTTTAACCAAGTGATCATCTTTGTCAACGGAGTTGACAGAGCAAAGGCATTGAACGGAGTTCTCCTTGAGAGTGGTTTCCCATCAGTCTGCATCCATTCAAGAATGGGACAGGAGGAAAGAATCAGCATTTACAAACAATTTAAAGATCTTGAGAAGAGAATCATGATTTCGACAGAAATCTTTGGAAGAGGTATTGATTTCCAAGGTGTCAACATCGTAATCAACTATGACATGCCCAAGGCTACTGATGACTACCTCCACAGAGTAGGTAGAGCAGGAAGATTCGGAACTAAAGGAGTTGCTATCAGCTTCACTAAAGATGAAGAAGACGAGAAGGTACTCACTGACATTCAGAGCAGATTTGAGATCAAGATTGGCGATCTACCAGAGAAGCTTGAGATCTAAGGAGCAGATATTCTAATTGATTTCTAAGAAAGTAGAAGTACTCACTTTTAATTTAATATTTAAGATCCTGGATTTACCCTGACATCTCTCTTTTCAAGTTTTATGTTTTAAAGCGGGGTTTTGGGGTTTTGGGGTTTTGGGGTTTTGGGGTTTTGGGGTTTTGGGGTTTTGGGGTTTTGGGG